TAGATAGGCGGACAAGCGGGCTAGCAACCAATCTCTTAGTCAATCAATCAAATATATTGCATATTAAGGAAACAATCAATCAACAGGTTAGTCAGTCAATCAATCATGTTGCATATTAAAGAAACAATCAATCAAGAAGTCAGTCAGTCAGTCGATAAAACCAAATTCAAATTCCAGGCTAAAGAGAGAATCAATCAAATCGATCAATCAATTGTATTGCAGGTTAAAGGGACAATCAATCAACAGATTAGTCAGTCAATCAGTTGATCAATCAATTATAATGCATATTGGAAATATAATGAATCAACAAGCCAGTCACTCAGTCAATAAATCAATCAATCAATGATATTGCATATTAAAGAACCGATTAATCAACAAGTCTGTCAGTCAATCAATCTGTCAAGCCCACTCAGCTGTAAAACTTAACTGCACAATCTGAAAGTTCTGCAATGTGCAATCAATCCACCAAGAGACTCGACTCGATAAGACTTCATCAATAAGCCTATCAAGCCCATCCGCCTATTAAATAATTTTGTCAGTGAAGCTGGCGCTCAATCAATCAAGCAGTGAAGCGTCGATCATTCCTGGTCATCAGGCAGGGACTTATCTCAATTTGTGATGTAATCCAACAAGCAAACTCTATCTCTATCTATATCTCTCAATCTACCAATTAGATATAAAGATAGGTGGATTACCTAGATGATCAATATACTGTGATTGAAAAACTAGATAGTCCATCTATCTATGCAAAGCTGCTGATAAATATATAATATAATGTATATAATCTTGATCTAATCTAGCTAATTTTTTTCTATACTGATCCATCAATCTTCATTAATTCTAGATAATCCATCTATGTAAAACTAAGAAATATATAATATATGAGCGTATAATCTAAATCTAGTCTGGCCAACACATTTTGCTTAGGATCTGCATAATCAAATCAAAAAATCCATCAATCTACATTAATTCTAGATAATCCATCTATCTATGTAAAACTGAGAAATATATAATATACGATCATATAATCTAGAATCTAGTCTAGCCAAAAACATTTTGTTTAGGATCTGCATAATCAAATCAAAGCTGGTTAGATTTCCTCCAGATTAAGATTCACATTTCAATCCGTTAACTTCCTTTACAAGATTATACGGATATATATGTAGGTATATACGATATATCTATACATTTCCTATATATACACTTCCTTTGTTCAACTTTCACGCTATTGTCTGTTGCGTCTCTTGTGCTTGGACTAGCCCAGGTTAAAGCGTAGGTCTAGGGCTTCCACAGCGCCAATTGCAGCCGTCTCCTGCGGACTGCCCCTGCCCCCTGTATGCGCTCCCCGCCCCTTCGAGTGCAGTCGACGTAACTGACACAAGTTTTGTGGCAAGTTGAGACGGCCAAATCGAAACGTTGCGATCGTTAGGCAAAAGTTGCAAAAAAAAAAAACAACAAAAAAACAGCAAAAAAAAAAAAGAAATAGAAAAACTGAAAACAGGTTTTCCCTGCGAAAAACAAGCAGAGTGAAAAATAAAAATAAAAATGAAGTCAGCGACGATCAACTTGCCCCGTTGCGTGCTGCAGCCAGCCACTGGGCGATGGTGGGGCCTGTGGGGCGGGTGGCACAACGGGGGGGGGGGGAGGGGGCCGCAGGGGCGCTGGGGCAGTCGATTACTTCATCGACGGAGAGAAAGTGGCAGGAAAAACTGTTGCCGTTGCTGTTGTTGTTGTTACTGTGGCTGTTGCAGCCGTTGCAAGTTGCAACAAGATGGCGTGTCATGGCTGGCGCTGCTGCCACGCTGCAACATTTCCCCATTTCCCATTGCAACTGCAGCCATGATTATGTGGCATTAACTTTAGCTTACGTAACCCCCAATGCAATGCAATGAAAAATTGCAAATCGTATGATGGCCGACACCGACACCCCGGCCACACTGGTTATGCAGCATGCCTCCCCATCACCCCCCCCCCCTCCCCGCTCCCCTCATGCCACTGCCCCTGCCCCTGCCCTGCCATGCAACTGGCAAATGTTGCGCAAATGAAGCCAACAAGGAAAACAACAACAACAACAAAGGCAGCGACAATTCGACGATCGTCGTCGTTGAACGTGAAAAGCGGAAAACTTTTGCAGTTTGTGGCACATAAAAAAAATGTAAAAAAAAAAAAAAAAGATAAAATTGAATATAAGTAGTGTGGGCAAGTAGGCAGCAGCGGGTGGGAGGGGCGATGGGGAGTCGATCATGCACAAGCCAAAGGCAACTCGAAAACGTTTGCTTTAAGGTTAGGGTTCAGCTGATCACTGATCGATATATATGGGTTAGTTGAACTTAGACTGAAGAAAACATGACAGCAAATAGTTAGTAATTGAGTGAGTTAGATGCGTACTATATATGTATATAGATGTATTTATAGATTTAGCTGGACAGATGGGGGCATATGTGATAGAAGATCTGGAAAATTGTTGCAATTTCAGGGATAAACTGTCTTCATTAATGGAAATCACTTTTAGTGAAATAAAATAATATAATATTATATTCAAGAACTATGTAGAATCATTCTTGGAGGGGTATATAGACTACATATAACATAACTTAATAATTGTAGCAAAACTGTAGATTTAGATATAAAGCAAAGAGATGTACATATATAATAGATAGATGAAATAGAGAAAAACGGGGAAGGGGCGAATTTGTAAGCTGTCTTTGTCTATGAAAACCAAGGCATTAAAGTCTAGTGACAATATACTAAAAGAGAGTAAGAGATGTGGCAGAGAAGAGAAGCATATGATAGATATGAGAAAATCTGGAAAATTGAGTAGATTTCAGGGAAAATTCAAAAGCTGTTTTTCGTGTATGGAAATCAATGATCTAACAGTCGCATAATCACATAACCCTGCCCAAAAGCTATAAAGAATCAATCCTTCAAAATTTATATAACATATACATATAAGATATCTTCATAAGCGTAAAAATATATGATAATTATATATGAGTATATAGCATATAGCAAAAGATAGTATGGACTACATCAAAATAAATACATATATGATAAAAGTATGGAAAATAAAAATGCTTTGGAGCAACTCTATAAGTTTTCCTTCATAGAAGTCAATCTTGACAAAGATACCACACGATATTAATCCTAAAAACAATAAAGAGCCAATCTTTAACATCTATATATATAAAAGAAAGTTGTGTAAAAGTGAAGACCGCTTATAACTTGATTTGGGCTGAACCAATTTTCATGGTTTTTGATTTGTTGGATTTGTCTCCGCAACGAGTTTAGTATAGGGTCTTAAAAATACTGAAAAAATTTGCCGAATACTTGAAAAACGCGGTTTTTTCCCCAAATGTTCAAATTTTTTTTATACCCAGTAGGCTTGGTAACAGTGACAGTTTTGACAATAGTGTAGAAGTAAATAAACAAATGTAGTCAGTCAGTCTACGGTCTCCTGACCTCGAGCAGACCTGACTATTCAAAAAAAANTTGAATTTAAAGATTCAAGGCCAGATTTGCCATCGCATTGGATCATTGCAACCTATTGAAGATGCACAGCAAAAATTCTTGCAAATATACTTCATGGGCAATATGGAAGAACAACTTGACCGGCGTCAAGAAATGAACACAGCTATGAAAAGAGCAATTCTCCATGATTTGCATGCTTAGAAATTTAAACCAACCAAAACTGTGCAATGGAACGCGTTTGGTGATAAGAAAACTGATGAGCAATGTGATTCACGCGTTGATACTCAAAGGAAAATTTAAAGATGAGGAAGTTCTTATTCCTAGGATTCCGATGAGCTCAACAGATATGCCCTTTGAATTTAAACGAATTCAATTCCCGCTTCGTCTTGCCTTCGCCATGACGATCAACAAGTCACAGGGCCAATCTTTGACTATTTGTGGCCTCAATCTAGAAAATGCGTGTTTTTCTCATGGTCAATTGTACGTGGCATGCTCACGTGTTGGCAAACGATCCGCATTATTTGTTCTTGCACCCGACCAAAAAACGAAGAATGTCGTTTACAACAAGGTGCTTGAATGAAAATCCGATTAATAAATTTATCAGTGTATCCCAGCCTGAACAACATAGCTTTCAACAATTTTTTACCTAGAAATAATATAGAGGGCAATGCAACGTTTGCCGGGCCAGCTAGTATTTACATATATCATATATATATCATTGCTAAATAAATCTAGTTTAATAAACATTTTATATGTATACATTTACTAATTTAGCCCCAGCTTCGGAAAACAACAGCTATTATTCTAAAGTTATATGTACATATGTATAAACCCTAAAAACTATGAAGAGCCATTCCTTAACAAATTTTGATGTCAAATATAGCATTTTAGACTCCAATTCGGAAAACAAAAAACTATACTAAATTTATAAACACTTTCTTATACAAGTATAGGAAATATCAGAAGTTCTGTCTATTCAACTAAACCACAGTAAAAGTTTTTGGTTATGTGGAATCCATTGATACAAATGGATTGTGTTTTGCATTGTCTGCAGGCGACTAAAATAGCATAAATATGTTAGTTAATATTTATAAAAAAATATGTACTGTAATAATGATCACACTAATCATAATCGAAACCACGCTCTCTGCTCTACAGCAATGTTAGAAATATTTGCATTGCTAAAAGAATCCACGCATACAAGTGGATTCACTTTCACAACAGAGTTTTGAGCAGCGTCCACTTGTGGATTGAAAGAGTGTGTGCTGAGTGTGGAGTGGAGTGGAGTGGGCCTGCCATTTGAAGGGGCGGCCAGACACCTTGAGGAGCACTTGGACAACATTGAAGCATAAACATACATTCACACGCACACACACATAGAAATGTGTGAATGTGCAAATGCAAATGCAAATGCAAATGTAAAATACATGGAAACAGGCTGGCTGTGGGTGTTGTTTGTGCAAAGTGTAGCCAGATATTGCATAAGCCTATTGCATAAGACAGATCTGGCAACTTCGTCGCGATCAGCTCACCTGTTTTATGTTGTGATCCTGCCAAACGATTGCGTGATATATGCAGTTCCTCTGCCTGGCATGCCTGCAACAAGAAATAAAATGGCGAACTGTGCATGAGATAGTGTGTGGAATGCGATATGTGGAATGTGGAACGTATGGCCTAACATTGTCATAAATATAGTCATAGTAATTGCTGTACAACTCCTTCGCAGTGCAGCTCTCTTGCTCTCTCACACACTCGCATGCCACACACACACACACACACACACACACACACACACATACAGACACAGACATACTAGAATATACCAATATGGAGCATTGCATTTCACTCTTGTTTTCGATTTCATTTTCGTTCGCTCGGTCGCTGGGTCGTTGGAGCAGCAACCGCAGCAGCAGAAGCAGCACCAGCACCAGCAGCAACTGCTGCCGCAGTCGCAGCCAACGCCAACGTCATCAGCGCCGCGAAGATTTTCTAAACGCTCTCACGTTTGCATGCGCTCTCTAGCGGCTGCTGTCTGCTAGACTTGCTCTCTGCGCTCGTTCGCTCTCTCTCTCTCTCGGCTGCATGTGCAGCGCAGCTGACGTCGTCGTCGTCGTTAGCTTATGTTATTCAATAGCGCACGCCGCTGCCACTGCCACTGCATTTGTGTGTGTGTGTATGTGTGTGTGTGCTTTTGTATTTCATGTTATTTTATGTCTCTCTTTGTATGTGTGTGTGTGTGTGTGTGTGTCTTTGCTATCTGCCGCCGTCGTCGCCATCGCCGTGGTATTGTACGTTGCCTATTGCCACTGCAACGGCTGAAACGACCTCCTACAGGTCTTTGACCCAGTGCGACGACGACGATGCCGCGCTCTTGCCTGCTGCCCGCTGCCCGTTACTCTCTGCCCGCGCGCTGCCATGACGTTCGCTTAGCTTTTCATTTGCACGTTATTATTATTTTCCTCAGTTTGGTTCGCTCACTCGCTCACTCGCTCGCTCGCTCGTTTATTCGTTGATGCGTTTGCTCGCTCACTCGTTCGTTTTGTTCATTCGCTCGTTTGTTGTTGCTGCCGTTGTTGTTGCTGATGTTGTTTCTTTCTTTTTTTTGCTGTTGCTGTTGTTGCTGTTGTTATTTCTCTGTTTGGCTTTGGCTTTGGCTCTTGTGTGTGCATTTCCCTTGTGCTGTGCGCCCGCGTATTTGCTTTTCTTTCCACCATTTCCCTACTTGCGTTTTCTATTGATGCGTGTGGGCCAGCCTAGCCCTACACACACAAACCACCCACATCCACCCCCTCCCTCCCCACACCCACGCAGCACCGCCACCTGGCCACCTCCTGCTGATAGAGCATCTGCAGCACGCCTAATCACAGGCATTTCGAGGACTGGGCAGAGGCAGCAACTGCATTCATATATTTCCTCCTTCTGTTTCTGCTTCCCCTTTGCCTTCTGCTGCCTCTACCTCCTTCTGTTTCTGCTTCTCTTTGTCCATGTCTTACACTTTGTTTGCTCTCGGCTACTTCTTATTTATTGCACCGTTAACTGGGTTGCATTTTATTTTGTGTCTGGCATTTGATTTTGGCAGCGCACCACCCAACGCCCCCCGCCCACCCACACTGGCTAATGCCTCAGTCGGCGCATTATGTGGCATGTGGCATATGTGGCACGTGGACGCACGTGGAGCGTCGACATTTCATCGACATTGTTGGCGCGACGCCTTCGAAACTGGCGCAGCCTTCGACCATGTAAAAAACCACTTGAGGCAGCTGATATCAACAGACAAAGAGGGACAGAGCGAGAGAGAGACAGACAGACAGGAGAGCGAGAGCGAGAGCGAGAGGGTAAGGGTGATAGACACACACACACACACACACAGATGTAGCTTGCTTTGAAATCACTGCATTGCTCTATAAACTTTTAACCCAATTTTTATGCCTTATTTACAGAGACAGCAATGTTTTATTGTATGGTACTTACACACACACACACACACACATATGCTGGCTGGCTGACTGCCTGCCTTTGCCATTGATGGAGTCATCCGTTTGGCGCTGTTTCATCTTCGTTTCTCCCGTTATTTATGTTCTGCTCACTTCAGAGAGTATTTATAGCGGTACCAATAAAAATTTAAAAAAAAGGACAGCCTATACCAAGAGGTGGGCGGCATTGGGCTAACCTGAGCGCAAATGTTAAGCAAACGCAAATTAACGGTACTTCAAGGATACAAATTAAAGAAATTAACAGGAAATTGCCAAATATTCCTTGGTTTATTAATTATACCCTGAACCCATTGAAAATGGGAAATCAGGGAATAATGGTTTTGTAAAATAGTATGTAAGGAGTCATCGCAGACCCCTCAAGTTATATTTATTCTTGATCAGCACGACGAGCTGAGTCGATATAGCCTTGTCCGTCCGTCCGTCCGTCCGTCCGTCCGTATGAGTGCGTCGATCTCAGAAGTTATAAGAGCTAGAGAGTTGAGAGTTGAAATTTGGCATGCATACTCGTGTATACCATACGAGTTTGCTTTATTTTTTTAATAACTCATCCGATAACTTTTTTGGCGAGAATAATCGAAAAATTGATTTTGTGTTTTCAGCCTAATTTGAACCCTTTTGGACCTGAACTTCAAATTTGCGTTGTATATAAAGTTAATGGATACAAAGATTTTGTAATTTACAGATTTTGGATACCACGCCCCCTTCGCTCCCAATTTGTAGAAAACGCATTTCAAGTACTAGAGACTTGTGCTTTGGAATGTACACACATTTTCACCATATGATTACACTCTGAAAGTTTCATTAAGATTAAGATGCATGTGTATGTATGTGTGCATAGAAGAAGTGCAGAATGATTAGATATCAGCTTAGAGGGTTCAGGGTATCGCCTAGTCGAGCAGTCTCGACTGGAGCCTTCTTACTTGTTTTGATCATATGTTAGCTAAGCTAGAGTACATGAGGAATAGTAGAGTTGTGACACCTACTTACCTTCTTCACCTACGATCGATAACGATATTATCGATGAATTTGATGCCTGCGATTAAGCGAAAAGTTAAAGGCCTTATAGAGGATTTGGGCTGTGATTGACTTCATTCTTCAACTTTAGAAATATAGTCGATAATTGCGCGTGTTATCGATTATAGCTAGAGAGGGTGCCTATTAGAAGATTTTAGCTTTGATTTACTTCCCTTCTCAAGTTTAGCATCATTATCGATAGCTAAATGTGCAACCGATTAATTTCTGCTGGCAAGGCTAAAGGCTCTCAAATTTAGATTTATAATCGATAATTGCGTGTGCTATGGATTATAAGGAGGGTAGTAGAAGTTTAGAGTTTATATTTACTTCTCTACGCAAATTTAACATTATAATCGATACACTTTTGTGCTGTCGATCAATTTGCGCTGGAAAGGCTAAAGGCGCTAAGGGCTAGGAGAGTGTTCAGAAGTCTATTTACTTATTCGCTCAACTTTCGCACTATAATCGATAGGTGTATGTGTTATCGATGACGAGTAGAAGCCTTCGACGGTCATTTACTTATTTCCTTAGCCTTAACATTAGCATCGATAACCATTGCTGTTATCGATTAATAGGAGAAAGTTAATTATAATCGATAATTATCTGTGTTATCGATTCTAGCTAAAGGGGGAGCCGACTGGCTTAGCTTAGGCGTCTATTTACTCATTTCCTCGGCTTTAGCATGCGGCTCGATAACAATTGGTGCTATCGATTAATTGGCGCAGTCAACTGAGCAGCGCCAAGATCACAGCCAAGCGAGCCCATAAAATCCTCGACCTTTGCATCGTGGCTAACATTTAATCAACGTGCGACCAGCAGCGACAGCAACAATTTCCATGCCGAATTCGTGTGGCAGGCTAGGCGAAAGAGTCAATGACATTGCCACAAGCTGTGGCAGCACCAGCAACAGCAAATTCACCGACGAATGTGTCACTGTATGTGTGTGTGTGTGCATATAAGTGCATCTATATGTGGACTGGGACATGAGCTGCACATGCTGCGCTCTCTGCAACAACAACTGCAACTGCAACAACAACAACAACTGCAACAACAACAACTCTTGAGTGCCAACTACTGCCCTACATTCAAGGCAACGACTCGGAGATAAGCGCTCACACACACACGCACGCACACATGGCCACTGCCAGCAGACACTTCTATGTGGCCCCCCAGCATTGCAGCCCAGCCCCACCCCCAACCGCAGTTGCACTCCCTCGTTGCACACAAAAAAAAATATACTAAAACTAAAAGACAACAACAACAACAACAGCGCAACACAGCAACAACAAAAATTCCGCTTCAAGTTCCAGAGTCTGTTCCGCATATGTGTGCCTGTGTGTGTATGTGTGTGTGTGTGTGTGCGTGTGTGTAGACATTCTAAGCGGTCATAGTCCCAGTAAACTTTCGCCTGCCGCATTTGGCGGCTGTCGTGGGCGTTGCAGCTAGAGCATTGAGCAGAAGCAAATGCAATCAGCGAATCGGCGAGCACCTCTACAGAGCATACAACAGTCTTTCAATCTGYCAGCCGATCAATCAATCAATCAAACTGTTGCAAATTCTATCAAGCAGACAATTCGTCAGTTGATTGAATATACATTCAATTCAATGGCAATCGGAGTATCAATCAGACTTTGAATCAGTCAATCACTCATTTATTTCACATACGAATCGAAAGTAGATCAATCAATTGATCAATCAAGGTTTTCCATAATCTCTCAGTCCGTCAATATATCATTTAAAGTTTCACAAGCAAGGAAGTCAATAAACTCTCAATCACTCTGTCAGTCAATCATTCAATCAATCAATAATAAATACCTTAAACAAATTAAGTCATACTTAAGTAACTTATCAATACAAAAGTTAGATCAGCTGTCAATCAGTTAATTAGTTAATGTCTTAGTCAATCAGTCAATCAATACATGAATTTGAAGTTTGTCAGTCAAGGAATTCAATTCAATTCAAGTCCATTTCGAATGCATGTCATCAATCATTCAGTCGATCGTTCTATCATTCTATCATTCATATATTCAATCAAGCTACTTATCATTCAGTAGAATTGGTCAATCAGTCAGTCAGTTGATTCAGTCAAACTGATTTGTTACGCTAATGATCAGTCATTCAGTCAATCATTACAACAGTCATTCTATGATGATAACGTAAGCTTCCTATTAAATGTAAATCTCTATTTCTCTCCCGCTCTCCCTGTTTCTCTCGCTATCTCTGTCTCTCTTAATTTGTCGGTCTCTCTCACTCACTGTTTATGTCACTGTCTGTTTCTGTCTCTATTTCTCTTTTCCTTTCTGTTTTCTCTGCCTCCCTCTCTCTGTCTTTCTTTCCTTCGGTCTATCTCCCTCTATGTCCTGCTATTTCTTTTTTTTCTCGCTCTCTCTCTCTCTGTGTCTATCTCTTTATTTTTCCACTTTTTTCATTCTCTTACTTTCTCTCTCGCTCTCACTTACTGTCTTTATCACTCTTTGTTCTCTGTTTTTCTTTCTCTTTTTTTCTGTCTACCTCTCTCTGGCTTTCTCTCTTTCGCTCTGTCTCTCTCAATGTCCTGCTCTTTCCCTCGCTGTATCTATATCTTTTTCCCCATTTCTCTCTCTCTCTCTCTCTCTCTCTCTCTCTCTCTCTCTCGTTTTATGCCTTCCCTATTGAATCTATCTAGCTCGTAATTCACGCTTGCTTTCTGGTTTTGTATTTCAATGGAAATACTTTTTTTGGAATCGTAATTTCATCCAGTGCGCACAATTTGCACTTTGAACTTGACTTCCCCATCCTCCGCCTATCGCGCTCGCTCTCTCTCTCTCTCTCTCTCCCTTCCGCATGCTCATATTAGGTATTTGAGTCTCATTCCATAAATTTCACTAAACTTGAATTAAAACTTTTCATGATCAACGACCAACGATGCGATGTAATCTGTGTTTCCCCTCCCCGCCCAGCGCTCTGCCCCGCCCCTGCCCTAGCTGTTGGTCGAGGGGCAATGCTAAAGCGTTAAAGAGCAAAACAAACAGAGAGAGAGTAGGAGGAGAGAGCGAGAGAGAGCTAGAGAGTGTGTGTGTCTGTGTGTGAAAGAGAGAGCCAGAGATTGGGAGCCAGAGCAAAAGGGAAAGATATGGAGTAAAAGTGAACGGGCAAGTTCAAGTTTATTTTCTGATGGAAAAAAAAAGCTATAAGAAAAGAGAGACCGAAATATGTACATATATAATATTATAAGCAACAACAACAACAACACCATCGAGACAGCCAAAATAAAGGGCAACAGAATCAAGCGAGATACGAACGACAACAACAGCAACAACGATGGAGACTGGAGAGAAACTAGAGAACCGCGAGCGGTGGCAGCGGGGGCAGCGGGGTGCAAAA